TTTTTTTGCAAACTTATATTACGATTATAACTTTATCCGTAATACTAAAATTGTCCGCTAAGTTGAAGAGTTAATATTATTATTCGAGATTTCTAAGTGTAAGCCATGTGCAAAAGGAATTGTATTCTCAGACCACTGAAAAATGCTAGCTTCAACACTATTCGTCGGGACACAGTTCCTTTTGGACACGGTTGACACAGCCTCTAACACGATCAACCTCGAGTGATAATAAGAAACACGTTTGCAAATGAAAATTGCTTTCGCGCTTGCTTAAAACTTCGCGACGCGCAAATTAACATGGGGAAATTGTAGAACACGTAGAATAACTCGATTACGACGCTTTCGCAGTTCCGCCGGCAGCCCCGTTGCTTCACGCGACCAGCGCGACCAGTAATTCGATAAACGTCCAGTGGAAGAACAGGGATGATGGCGGCGCCCCAATCAGGGGCTATATCCTTCACTATAAACGGGAATCCGGCGAATGGGAGGAGGTGAAGGTCTCCCACAAGATCAACAGTTTCGTGCTGTCACGGCTATGGTGCGGCAACGATTATCAAATGTATCTGACGGCGTACAATAGGATCGGCATGGGATCGCCGAGCGAGATTGTGAAAGCAACGACCAACGGATCGAAGCCGGAGAACTCGCCTAGCAACGGTGATAAATTCGTCACCGTGAACGTGTCGTGGATCACTCTTCATCTGAGCATGTGGAACGACGGTGGCTGCCCCATCACGTATTTCGAGCTCGAGTACAGAAAGAACGGGGATGATATTTGGACCTTGGTGTCGAACAACATCGAGGTATTAAGCCTTTTCTCGATCAGATTCAACGATTGAAACGACGATACGATAAAACGTTGCAGAGATATTGTTTTCTCGTACGATATGTTTTAAAACATAATCATAATCACGTTTACAGTCGCTCGGGTTATAATTTTCTGCGTTAACAACGAAGTAATTAACACGTAACTTCTGCAAAATTCTTTTATGTCGATTGCTCGAGAATGTACACGCTGGTGACTGCAACGACGTGAATTACCTGTATGACAGTAAACAGCGATGGGATTTGTCGTTCAGGTACAAAAGACGTACACGCTCAGCGAGCTGCAACCTGGAACTACGTACGACATTCGAATAAGGGCGCACAATAACGCGGGTTTCTCGGTCGCCGAATACAGGATTACGACACTTCAGCCTCACACTAGCAGCACCGTGCCGTCTGTGGAGATCGATCACTACATTCCTCAGCACACGTCCGTCTACGTGGATCTGAAACTGATTATTCCTCTGATACTGAGCTCGCTGGCCATCATCGCCGCCGCCGGTGCCGTGTTTTATTGTTTCCGGAAACGTTAGTAGAAAATTGCTCGCGATCTATTCGCAGGCAAGACGTATCTATGCGTGCACGTAACGTTTCAACGAAAATGACCGTAGGCCCATTTATAGGGGAGATCGCGAGCCTGCACGACGCCCAGACTGCAGCCGCTCTAGACAATAAACAGAACATGGAGCAACGTGAACAGTACTACGCGACCGTGCGCAAACCGCTTCGCTCGCCGATACACGAGATGGCTACCTTGGAAAAAATTCCAGGTAACTGGAGAGAGGAGAAGTATTTATTTAGTGCCGTTCGTTTAATTGGCTGATTAACTGTTTCGTTGTTGAGTGCGAGGCGCGAATTTTATCACTAACGGTAAATACCAGGCTCTCTTATAGCTTCCTGTAACGCGTGATCAGACAGCTTTGATGACTCGGTTCTTGTGTAAGAATGTCTGTCATATTCTTAACCCTTAGTTACACAATATCTATACCCGCTACATAATTCTGCGGATAAAGTAACTCTCATTACAAAGCAATGATTATTTTAGTTTTAAAAAATTCTTCAGACTAAAGAAGGGAAAGAAGACAAATTAGTATTTTTAAAAATATCAATTTGATCACATTTGAAAAATCATGAATCGTACTGATATGGTACAGATTATTTTCAACGACGACAGAGTTGATTAATTTATGGAATCGCGAAGAGACAATGTTGAAAAAAATGATTGCAGAGTACTCGGAGGACATTTATCCATACGCGACCTTCCAACTAGAGGAGAGCGTACCACCAGGTGGTGATAGCCGATGTAATTCCGCGGCGCCTCTTCAGACCTTCGTCTATCACGATCCTCGTCTCTCCACAGCTGACACTCTTCAATTACGAGAGGTAACGTCCAACGTTCAGTTTGCTTTTGTCATTCACCATTCGCCATTCTCGTGTCTGTTCACCGAATCATGGGAAAACACACTTGCGCACACTGCATGCATCCTCGAATTCGTCCTCTCAGTTTACCACTGTGTGTATAATTTGCTCCAGATAGAAGTTCGTATCGTTGCAACGTGTTCGCCCCTTAAAAATCGCATTTGGAACACGACGAAAGTACGAACGAACACGCGACACAAGAGCGACAATTGGTCGTCTATTCTAAGGGGCGTTCGCTAGTTTTTCTCCGGTTTATCTCTTTAATCCTACAGCTGTGAGCAATTTTTTTTCGTACTTTCCTGTACGAAACTGACGAGAAGAATTTACATCTAGGTTATACCGTAAGAAGAGTAATCGCAATGTGAAAGAAATAAAAAAAAATATATGTCATTAACTGTCGAAATTAACTCAGTAAGTAGAACTAGCAATTCCGACTGGAGGGTTAACGAGAGACAACGAAATTCGTTTAATTCTTAGTATATTACAAAAAAAAAAAAAAAAGAAAGAAAGAAAGGAACAGAACGTACGAACTTTTATCTTTCGTGAAGAGAGAACATTCTCTACAAAGCTTCGCTTTTATCCCGCTATCGTCGCTGTATATTTCCCAAATAAAGCATTTCGTCGTTAAAAAGTTCTCTGTGATCCAGCAAAAGAGGAAAACTGTACGAATCTCGCTTCTCGCATGTTGCATCAAAGCGCGCTAACGCACAGTCCCAATCGCATTTCGCGTGTGCACATCGGTCTTGGCTATCGGGTTTGTTTAGAAATTGTCTGGCACGAAGAACTTGTTTGTACGATCTTTTTTTTTTCGCGAAACAATCACGAGCCGAAAAGACGGCTCGTCATGTACATGTACGTGCGTCATGTATCCTCGTAAACGTCGACGCAGACCGCGACGAGATAATTTATCGGCATAGAAAAATGAAAAAGAGAAAAGAAACATGTTTGTAGAAAGAACCGCGCGTGGATCGAGTAGAACAGATGTGCATCATAGAGAATCGATCATTGTGACTGCTGGTCCCACCTTGCTTCGTTTCGCATCTGTCCTGATCAGTCCATCGAGGAACCGCAACACCGATGCAAACGATACTTTTCTTACATGTATTATATTCGCCATTCTACACATCTCTCGCCAACTCTTGTCATTATACTAGCTCGTATAGCTGTAGAAAGCGTACATTCTGCCGAAGCGTTCTGAGGTATTTTCTACATGATCGTAGAAAACAAAAAAAGAAAAGAAAGAAGAAGAAGATAGAATAGTAGTGTAGATCGCGAACACTGAAAGATCAGTGCTAAATCGATAAAACCGATCAATTTCCAAAGAGTGCACATTGCAAGGCACGATAAAGACACGATAGATCATAAATATCCATCAGTATCCATTAACATCAATTGAATGCTCCATCTTCGATAACGATGAATCATTTAGTGCATACAACGTGTGCGTATACTTGGTGGAAGAGATATGTACGTACGTGAGGTCATAAATTCAAGTATTAGTCTGGGATTAATATAATTGAATTCAGAGCCGTATGCATACTTGGAAAAAGCATCTTGGCTCCCAAATGTATCTTGAAATCTCGTAAAGTCATTTACGAGTCCCGTGAAAAGTGGAAAGTTGTGTGTGTATTTCTAAAACTCTGCCCTCCGAATTTGTCAACTTGTATACACAACTTCTTAAAGTTTCTCGGGCATTACAAAAGAAGGAGCCAACCGTACGGTTCTGAACAGGGTCTCGAGTTTCTTATCTCCTTGTATCTCGAACGTTAAAAGCTCGACGTGCTTTATACCCTCGCTGTACAATACAAACTCCGCTTATACAGAACTCCATTTATTTGAACGAAAATTTTAATTACCGCCCGATTAAACGAACTCCCGCCAATTAATCCGCTTGAGCGAAAGTCAAGCGGGTAGAAATCGGCATAGGAAAAAAAAAAAAAAAGATTGTAATCGCGCAAAAACTGCTTGTCTCCTGACAGATTTGTATAAGCGGATTCCCATCGTTCCACCAACGGTACGTCTCGAAAATCGATAGATCTAGAGAGTCTTCTAGGTTAGCCGCTAGCACGAACGCCGCTGAATAAAAAAAAAATAAAAATAAAAATAAAAAAAAACGAAAGAAAGAAAGAGGAAAGAAAAAGAACAAACGATCCGCGACGGTGGGATTCGCGATAGATCGGTGTAGCGCGTCTCCTCGTTTCCTCGTGCGAGTGTGCCAAATTCATCGAAAACCAATTCCGTCTGATTGCAGTCGGATTGCAACCGGTACACTAAGGTGCGCGGAGGCCGTTCGTCCTCTGCGCCGTTGCACAAAACGCACAAGGTCAGTCAGGGCAAGTCCGAGTCGGAGGAATACGACACCCTGGGCTCGGATAGCGACACGGAAGTCGGGACCAGCAGCCGAACCGAGTCTTCCAATCACCTCGTCGATTCGCACCACTCGGTGTCTGCGGCCGACTCGCGTGTCCACAGTATGCAATATCTTTCATCCTTCTATTTGGTTTACGGCCTTGTTTCATCCTTTCTCTCTATCTCTCTTTGTCTCTCTGTTTCTCTCTCTCTCTCTCTCTCTCTCTCTTTTTTCTTTCCCTTTTTCTCTTTGATCTTGGTCCAGTTCAGTTTGATCTTTTGTTGTTAGTTAAAAAAAGAGGACCGCGGTTGTTAATAAAAGAGAAAAGAAAGAAAAAAAAAGGGGGAAACGAAAGGAGAGGAGTGTTGCCTAATATTTCCATGCACCGCGGTACCACCGGAAATCCGTTCCCGTTGCCTGTCTATATATATATATATGTATGTACATATATATATACATCTATTAGAGTGCACCGAAACATTGTGTGACCGAGTATTTCACGCTTGTTTGTTGTCGTCGTGAAACGTTGGAACGGAATCAGGGGGCTGTTGGAGGTATTCTCAGCGAACGCGACACCTCGTTTCTCTCCGTGTCTGTTCATCGTGGAAAATCGTTGCGTTCTCTGTTTTTTTCAGACTTCCTGTACCATGGACCAGAATCTAGCACGTCTACAGAACCCTCACCGATTTTTGAGAGAAAATCGTTTCCTGGAAGGGGAAGATCCAAGTAAGCTCTTTCTATCTCCGTTCTCTGAATTATCCGCGGAGGAAACGTTTAGATGGGGAATAATCAAATGTTTGATTGTTTCTTTGTCGAAGGATGTTACAGCTGGCGCGTCATACCAGCGAGGAGACCCGTTCCAACTTCGGCCCAATCACCGGGTTTGGCAATTCCAAGCACCAGTCGAGCAATTCCTGCTCCAATCGGGACCAGGAGCGTGACGGATCAGGGAACCTGTTCGTCCCCAAGCTGGACCCACCCACGGGCTTCTCCGACGCGTTTGAGCTAAGCGAGGCCGAGTGCGACCTCGATCGTGGCCACAGCAGCCAACGAAACGTCCGTGACTTCGTAATCGCGGTGTAAATAAAAAAAAAAAAAAGAGAGAAAGAAAAGAAAGAAAGAAAGAAAGAAAAATGTAGAACCTCCACGATGAACCTCCACGATGCTGAAACCAGCGAGGAAGGAGAAACAAAACGAAACCCCATTTTAACTATCTCGATGTAAAGAAAACAACCATCGTGGTCCGTCTTTCGTTAATTATCATTGGCCACTGTCGAGCACAGCGGCCAGTGATCATGTGCTCCCTGTTCGTGTTCCTGGCCTATGTCGATGAGAATGTGTCAATCGTATCCTGTAACAAAAGAAAAAAAAAAAAAAAAAGCAAACGAACGTACTGAACTCGATCATGTGTTCTTCAAACTGCCATTTGGTTCGTATATTCGCGAGAACCTGCGACCCACAAGGCCCAAAGACAATTCGTTCGATTTTTCGGTGTGTTTCTCGTTTGGCTCCAGGAGTGAATCGCGCGAATCTGAACTGCCTCCTACCTGCCTCCTGCCTCCAGAGATCAAACAAACTGCCAATTTCGTTCCAGAGAAAGCTATCCTACGAAAGACTTTTTTGAACGCGTTCTCTACTTTCAAAAGTAGTAAACAGCAAATCAGACGAATTTTTCGCAGGTTATCAAACACGATTATTCTACACGTGATTGCTCGAGTTCGATCGATACGTCCGTTTGAGTCTGTTTCACGCGATGACTGCCACAAAACTGCGTGCTCTAACCGTCAAGCGATTCACAGGGAAGTTCTTTTTAGTTCCCTGTGTGACGAACACTCCTATTATCATAATTAATCGAAGACTCGTAATCGTAATTAAAAAATACTGTCGTCGAACGCGCGAATCGTCCTATCGTTGAGACCACATCCACGCAAACATCCACGAAGAAAAGGAACGGTTTTTTCCATTCTACTACCGAGTGCATATCCCAAGCGAGCAATACGCGATTTATTACGAGTTTACTTCGTCTTCCAGTTTCGTATCTCCAGTTTTTTATCTTCTGATTTCAACGTCGTTTCTCCCGAGCGAAGAACAACGCGTGAACAATTTCCTTCGCGCTTTGAACGAGCCAGCATGTTTCTCGTTCGTGTACCAACCGTGTGTTGTCGTATACGTGTATAAATAACGAAGAAAAAAACTGAAAATGATGTTTCGTCGTTGTCATCGATGTCGTTTCATTTTACGCGAGACTGAAAACGTTAAGTAGATGAGACGTGTAGCGTAAACTTTAACGTTCAAAGCAAAAAAATAAATAAATAAATAAATAAATAAATAAATAAACAAAAGTAAAATAAAATAAATAAATAAAATAAACTATTGTCTGTAAGATGTCTGTACTTACCATGCTGTTAACTGTGTACGTATTGTACCTCATCACGAACGCGCGAACGCGCATTACGGAGAAACGAGCCCGCGGAGAACAGATACGGTGAGAAACGTTAACTAAAGAAAAAAAGGGGAAAAAAAAGAAAGAAAGAAGGAAAAGAAAATAAAGAGCCGATGTCGTTTCGCCGCGTTGAATTTCGCGCGTCGATTAACGATGGACGGACCGAGTGGTACGCTAAGGCAAACCGACAAAAATACAAAAAGCAAAAATACAAAAAAAAAAAAAAAGATTAAATAAACTAAACTACGAAATAAAGCGCAGAGTGTTGATGAATTTATTCGACTGTCGTTAAAGAAAACGCACTTACCCAACGCGTCTGTAACGCGTCTCTATTGTCATCGAATCAGTTTCAAACCGTGTGTACCAAAAAAAAAAAAAAAAAAAAACCAATCGATCGTTCACTCGACAAACGTGACCGATGATTTTTGAGTCTGAGAGCTCTCTCGTTATGGCGGCGTCCCCGATCCCTGGGAAGCAACGCGCGGAAGCCCGTATCGGGGGCAACGAAAGAAGAGATATCGAATCTGTTGACAAATCGTATACTTTATAATATATGAACAAATGATTTACCACGAAATTCGTACTATTGTGTTTTTAGACGACTTTAGATTGTTTATATTCTATTTACTTTGTAAAATATACAACACTAATTCCATAACGGAACTCCGTCTCTGACTGGAAGTATTATTCTCACCCTTCTTCTCCTGTCTTCGCCCGGATATAGCCAATTTTTAAAATAAAAAAGAACGATACCATACCATATATGTAACCTCTGAAACTCTATCAGTGAAACTAATTGTAAGCGCGACGATAGATTGAACAGGTAATAACAATAAAAGAAAATCCCGTGTTTTCCAACGTCGTAGCATTCGTACAACGGCAGCTCGCCGAGTTCGACGAAAAAAGTCTTCAAGTGACAAAAGCTGCGCCCAGACGAGAAGGGTTTCGCGAACGTGCCGATCGATCGCGTTTCATCCTCCTCTCCCGATCGTACATTCGAATATGCAAAAGGAGCAATGCGGGAACGGCGGAGGGTCGCAGAATCCTCGATATACGAGCGCGAGGAAGGAAGAAGGGGGTGCATGGACCGGTGAGGTCGAACAGGGTTGCTGGGCATGCGCGGACGTTCCTGTCCTCTCCAGATACTATGAGCGGTGGTGTCTACGGCGGAGGTATGTGATACGCGGTGCGCAATATTTCGGGAAAATAGCGACGGTGATCGTCGCCTGGCCGGAGAATTCCGTCAAAGCGAGTTTTGGATTTTTTTTTCCTCCCGCAGACGAGGTCGGTGCTATAATTTTCGACGTTGGACACCAGAGCCTTCGCGTTGGTTATGGCGGTGAGGACACGCCGAAGGCTGAAATCCCGACCACCCTCGGTGTATGGGAGGACACGGTCGAGGCGCTGGACACCGGTCAGAACGTCAAGAAGCACTACAATATCGATGTCACGGCCATTCAAGTGCGAAAGAAGGGTACGATCGTTCCGCGCAGCGTAATCCTATCAGGGGAAATACGATTACGCTTCGGTGTCTAGCCTCCGTTACGTGACCCTTTCCCACCCTGTCGTAAATTCCATTAAAACGTAACCACGATGTCCAGGACCTCTGGATTCTTCTTAATGAAATTTCAGGGATTTCTCCGCCTTGTTGTTAATATTGTTCACTCGTATATACGATCCTCGTGCTACGAAATAATTGCTTATAATTGTGTCATATAACAACGCGCTGCATGTATATCAAATCGAATTACAGAAAGCAGATTTCGACTCGACAATGCAAAAAATCATACATTTTGTTTGCCAATGATCGTACTAACGTGTACTCTGATGTATTTTCCCAGATATGGAGATGGTTAGTTTAATGAAGGACGGCATGATCGAGGACTGGGAGATGTTCGAGCGTCTAACAGAGTACACGTACAAGCAACGTCTTCACGCTCTTTCCGAGCACCATCCGATCCTGATGACTGAGTGCCCGTGGAACACCCGGCTGAAACGCGAGAAACTGCTGGAGCTGATGTTCGAGAAATTCAACGTGCCGGCGATGTACATCTGCAAGAACGCGGTCCTGGCCGCGTACGCGAACGGCAGATCGACGGCGATGGTTGTGGACAGCGGCGCGACTCATACGAGCGCGGTTCCGGTGCACGACGGTTATGTCATCACACAGGGAATCGTGAAGAGCCCGCTGGGTGGTGATTTCATCACGATGCAGTGCAGGCAATTCTTCGAAGAGAAGGAAATCGAGTTGACGCCAGCCTGCTTGGTCGCGAGCAAAGGCAAGTTGGCTTTCTCGACGACTTGTCGAGTCGTCACCGATAACGGCAGGAGAAGAGAGAGAGAGAGAGAGAGAGAGAGAGAGAGAGAGAGAGAGAGAGCGATGGTAACGACATAATTCAATGCACGTTCAAACATTGACTTCAATTGACACTCGCCGTGCTAGCCAGGAATTAACGTGCTATAAAAAGGAATGTTTAGTACGTGGTAGAAAACGACGCCTATTATAAAACACAAAAGGGAGCAGTTGAATCCTTTCAGCGGGCATTTTGAACGATGAACGCGCGGTGTGTGCAGAGCACTTGAGTCGTAATACGTTGAATGCGTTCATTCAGCAGTCCGTGCGGCTCTACCGCACGCGCTGTCCAGAGCTTACCGAACGCTTATCAACGCTGCTGAAAGGATCGAGCTGTGTTTGGAGTTGAACGTTTCTCTCCTTCATCGAAATCTTTTCTCGTCCTTTAATATCATATCGGCCTCCCTATGTAACTTCCAGGTCTATTTAAAGAAGCGCTCCAACGACTCGCGTTCTATGTAACCACTCGAAACACTCTTCTCAAGTCCGAATCCCTTTATTTCGTACTACTCGGTGAAAACTTTTAACGAGAAGCTGATGTAACAAAATATTGCACAGACGTGGTTCGTGAAAGAGATCCACCACGCTGGACGAAGAGGGCTGGAGCTCAACCAACGTCTTCCTGGATGAGCTACATGGTCCGAGAGCTGTTGCAAGACTTCCAAATGAATTGTTTGCAAGTATCCGACAGCCCGTACGACGAAGATGTGGCCAACACTTTGCCAATGAAACACTACGAGTTCCCGACCGGGTACAACGACGATTTCGGCTCCGTCAGACTGATGATTCCGGAAGCCTTGTTCGATCCCAGCAACGTGAAGGGCGTTGGCGCCAGCATTCTTGGCGTCGGACCTCTGGTCACGACCAGCGTGGGCATGTGCGACATGGACATCAGACCAGTAGGCTCTCTTCTGTTTTTATCCCAAAATAGCTTTAAGAAAAAGTTGACCACTCCGTCATTGTTAATGAACGTAATGTTTCTTTTCTTAGAGCCTGTACGGAAGCGTGGTGGTCACCGGTGGTAATTCTTGCCTGCAAGGTTTTAGCGAAAGACTGAACCGTGATTTAGCCAGCAAAACTCCCCCAGTAGGTATCAATTTCTATTACCAAATTCCGTTGAAAATTCCAAGAATCGAATGTTTGATATTTTTTTGTCATTACGTTCATTCGTCATTTGGGTTCAACGAGTTTATGGAATTTCAAGAAATTGAAATATTACAACAAGAAATAGTATGGTAGAAGTGTTATATCAATAGATCGTCGCTTTCTGTTTAACAAAGATTAAATCAACTAAAAAAAAAAAAGAGTAATTTCTTGCGTAAAGATAATAACGTTGATCCATCGGGTTGTTGCAGAGTATGAGACTGAAAATAATCAGCGCGAACAGCTCGAGCGAGCGTCGTTACGGTGCCTGGATCGGAGGATCGATCCTCAGCTCCCTTGGATCCTTCCAACAAATGTGGCTGTCGCGCCAGGAGTACGAGGAATCGGGGAAACTGATTCTAGAGCGATGCGCGTGATCAAAAAGTGCTCAAGCATCAATCAAAATTATTCGTTGTGATTGTTTTTACAAATCGTCCGACTGTTTGTCAGTACGTACCTATTTTGTATTTGTATCGTCGACAGAGACAGTCAATTTCGTTAACGTTACGTTTCGGATGTTCTTTGAACAGCGTTGAGAGCCAACGTGAGACAATATGAGCGATTGATATCAAACGATTTCTGCGAGAGACGTGTGTGGTATTTTTGAGACGATTTGAAACTCGAGTGCAATTGCCAAAGTTTTTTTTATATCGAAGCTGATCGGTTTACGGGTGTAATCTTTGTAAAATTCACATTGATGATAATTGAAACGCTCTTCGGTGGTGAAGCTTCGGAATTTTTTTGTTTGGATTACACGCGAGTGTAAGTTGGACAAATGCACGCGGTACGCTTCTAAAAGGAAGAAACACAGTTCCTAATTGCTCGAACAATCTTTCGTTTGTAATTCGCGCGTGTGTGAGTAAGGTTTCGAGACGTTAATTGATGAGTAGAACGTAGCTACGTGTATGCAATGGGTATTGAAAGAAGAAGCAACCATTTTGAAAAAGAATTCCATTTATTTCGTTTATTTCGAACGTTCATATACACAACAAGCTACACGTTTGAACAACGTTTGTTATCCGCTTGTTTTCCACGCTTTTCTACCATTCGTTGTTGTTTCTCTTATTTGTTACTGTTTCTAACGATCAAAAGAATGATATAAAATTGGGAGGACCGCGAACCGCAAAACATTCATTTCGAAACGCGTCACGAGCAGTTCCAATTCTACAACGACAAATATATAATATATATATAATATATTAGAGCGTAGTAAACAATATAATATCTCGTATATAAATATATATATACTATATATATATATTTATATTTCAAACGTAAATGTAGGAAACAGTATTATCGATATAACACATATACAATATGTATACTTAGGAAAAGGCGAATTATTTTGTTAGAAAAATGGAAAGGACCTTTTCTCACGATGGCGACGAACGTTTCGTTGGTCGAAATTTCCGGTCCTTCTTTATTTACCTCTCTGCGACTCGGCGTTACAATTATTCTAATTAATACTTTCGCGTGTTCCAGCGGTTACTGTTCTCGGCGAGGAATGTTTGAAATTTCGTTTGTCGCGTGGATTAAAAATCCACTCCATCGGGAAGTAGAGAAAAAGGGATGAAACAATTTTCACAAGCCGCGTTATGATATTGTATCGTGATCAAGCGAAATACGAAATTCGTACCGATTTAGCGGAATAACACGAGTTAATCCTGTCAGCAATATTATGAGTCGTGCACACGATCGTTTATACGCGGAAAGAAAAATATCGTAAATCGAACTCGCTGTTTCTCTTCGTCACAACACGCCTACTTGATGTGGTGTGAAAATCGATGCGTTACGCTGACTATAAATACTTGACGTCGTTCTCGTTATCGGAACGATCAAACATTAAACGGCGTGAAACCCTACTAGCTAAAGACGCGTGATATGGCGCGCATAATGCACGCATAATGTTAGCCGTAGTCAGAAAATTCTCGTCGCGTTTTACTCTATAAAAAAGCGTTTACATCTTGCTGCGACGCTACGACTACGGCGATCGGAATTTTGTTGCACACGCGTGGATCTTAAATCGAGACGAGACCTCCTCGTCTACGTCTAATTTCTGGTTTACTCTGTTGCGCATTTCGTTCTTTTCTTCTTTCTATTCCTTCTTCTTAAAAA